TTTTTTTTTTTTTTTTTTTTTTTTTTTTTTTTTTTTTTTTTTTTTTTTTTTTTTTTTTTTTTTTTTTTTTTTTTTTTTTTTTTTTTTTTTTTTTTTTTTTTTTTTTTTTTTTTTTTTTTTTTTTTTTTTTTTTTTTTTTTTTTTTTTTTTTTTTTTTTTTTTTTTTTTTTTTTTTTTTTTTTTTTTTTTTTTTTTTTTTTTTTTTTTTTTTTTTTTTTTTTTTTTTTTTTTTTTTTTTTTTTTTTTTTTTTTTTTTTTTTTTTTTTTTTTTTTTTTTTTTTTTTTTTTTTTTTTTTTTTTTTTTTTTTTTTTTTTTTTTTTTTTTTTTTTTTTTTTTTTTTTTTTTTTTTTTTTTTTTTTTTTTTTTTTTTTTTTTTTTTTTTTTTTTTTTTTTTTTTTTTTTTTTTTTTTTTTTTTTTTTTTTTTTTTTTTTTTTTTTTTTTTTTTTTTTTTTTTTTTTTTTTTTTTTTTTTTTTTTTTTTTTATCTTTTGTGCATGTTGTTTTTTCTCATATATATATGTATATAATATTTAAGCTTCATAAATCAAATTTTCTACTTTTAGATGATGCAATCATCTTCTGGAAATGGACCAGTCATTGTGAAGGGAGGTGTCAACTACATTACCCTTTCAAATTTAAGAGCTGTTGCTGCTGCTCAGGGGACTTCAAAGCAAAATGAGGCACAAAAATCCATTTGAGGATATGCTGAAGATGGGGACTTTCAAATTTGTATTGATTTATTGTGTGTGAGTGTTATGGACAGAAATACATTATCTTGTGTGATGTTTAATGGATATGTTTGTGATGTTTTGATAATTGTCTTGATAGACTGTTTTGTGTTGTTATGGACAGAAATTCAGTTCTAGTGTGCATGGGAATAGAACCTTTGTTCTGTAGTGATGTTTTTTTGGTGTGAAGCTTTGGTTTGGTTGTGTGTATAATTTGTTCAGTATTTGATATCATTTGTCTGTCCTTAATGGATGTGAAGCTTTGGTTAGAACCTTTGCAATGACTCTTTGTTCAGGTTTTGTTCAGTGTTTGGTTTTGTTGTGGTTTAGGAGTCTTCTTCATATTGCAAATACATAACATAACTCATTGAAAATGGTACATGGATTGCATAACGATATTCATACTAAAAATGGTACAGGAATTGCATTAATAAAACATTACATAATAACAATCTTACAATAAACCCTAAACCATAACTATCTAAATCTAGTTAGAACATAATTTGACAAGGTATAACAATGAGAGAAGAATGGTAGCAGCCCATAATTTTTTGATCTTATTCTTGCACACAACCAATGCCTTCTTCATGTCATCCACATTGTTCATTGCCACCAACAGCTGAGCTTCCAATTCAGCATTCTTCAACTTGTATTGCTCAATTTCAACCAATGCATTGTTCATGTCATCCACTTTTTTCATTGCCACCAAGAGTTGAGCTTCCATTTCAGCATTCCTCAACTTGTATTGCTCAATTTGATATTGATGTTTATTTGATTTTTCCAGCAAACCGGGTATAATATTCTTTGCTCTTGCGCAAATTTCCGAATCATACCATATAAAAAACCCGCAAAAACCAAACTTTTGCTGCAAAAATGGCATGCGAAAATTTCACTCTTAGAGTAAAGTGCATACATCATTTTAATCAATATTGCAGAAATTTAACAATTCAACAAACTAAATCACATCAAAAACCGACCTTTCAGCGCCTATATTCAAGATTCAGGGCATGCTAAAAACCCATTCGAAAACAATTTCAGGGCATGCTCAATTTCACTCTTAGAGCATATTTATAAACACATTCGAAAACAATTTCAGCTATTAAAACAGTTTTAGGGTTTATTGTAAGATTTTCGAAAAAAATCACTCTTAGGGCATATTTAGGGCATTCGAAAAATTCATGCTTAGGCCATATTTAAAAACAAAATGAAAACACAAATGCATAACAAATTAATCAATTACCCCATATTTAGGGCATGCCCAATATCTTCTTCCCGGATTATTTTGGGTCCAGGAGGTCTTCAAGTATACTTTATCTCCACACCTGCAAGTCATCTCCATTGGAGCACCATTAATCTCTAAGTTCCAGCTCGAGCTTCCTCTTGAACTGCTCATTGCAAATCAAATTCCTTTTTTTTTCCCTCACTGTCTGCAGCTTTGTGGTGCTGTAATGGAGATGCCCGCCATTTTCTATCACTTGCAGAAGTAGGAGACCTACTACAGACGGTGTCCGTCAGTTGACTCACGGTCAACTGACGCTTCGTGCAAAAATGATTGATTTTATAGACTTTAGTGACTACAATTGATTAAGTGTAAATTATGGGTATAAAAAGCGAAAAGTAGGTATACCTGGGGTATCAAAAGTGAAATTTTCCCAAAAAGAAAACCAAGATGGAGTCGTGCTACGTGGCCTTCTATCCTACCTCAGAATAAATAATTTTAAATCCATACATAAAAGAAAAATTAATTTGCACATATACATCCAACCCTTTCCCCCATCGCCACAACGCTCGAACAGATAAGTANGAAAAAAAAAAAATCACCCCCGGCGGCGCGTAATGAACACGCTCTACGCCACCGTGCGCTACTGGCTGGTCGACCACCCCACCATCAGCCAGTACGAGTGGAGGCCCCACCAGACCCCCGGCGCCTCCCCCCTCTTCGTTGCCGCCGCCGTCTCCGCCTACCTCGCCGTCACTCTCTCTCTCCACCGCTTCCCTCTTCTCCCCGCCGTCTCTCCCGGCGCCATCCGCCTCGTCACCGCCGCCCACAGCCTCGTCCTCTGCCTCCTCTCCCTCGTCATGGCCGTTGGCTGCGCCCTCTCCGCCGCCATCCAGACCCCGGCCGGCCTCCCCTCCTGGTCCGTCTGCTTCCCCGCCGGCCGGACGCCGCCGCGCGGCCCCACGTTCTTCTGGGCCCACGTGTTCTATTTCTCGAAGATCCTGGAGTTCTTCGACACGCTCCTGATCCTGTTGAGCGGGTCGCGGTCCCGGCGGCTGACGTTCCTCCACGTGTACCACCACGCGGCGGTGGTGGTGATGTGCTACGTGTGGCTGTCGGCGGCGCAGTCGCTGTTCCCGGTGGCGCTGGTGACGAACGCGACGGTGCACGTGGTGATGTACGCTTACTACCTGGCGGCGGCGGTGGGGCGGCGGCCGCGGTGGAAGAGGGGGGTGACGGATCTGCAGATCGCGCAATTCGTGTTCAGCTTCGGGATCTCGGGTTGGATGGTGTATTACCATTTGAGCGGGTCGGGTTGTGAGGGGATTTGGGGCTGGTGCTTCAACGCGCTTTTCAACGCCTCGCTTTTGGCGCTGTTTGTTAATTTTCACCTCAGTAACTACGCCAGGGTAAAAAGAACGGGTCAGGATAAGGATAAGTAGGTCGTTTTTTTTTTCTTCTCAATTTTATATGTGTTGTATTCATTTTTTTCTGGAACGAGGAAGTCAGAAATGTTTGGTTGGAGAGGAAATTGGTCCGTTGTAAGTCTATTGCAAAATTGATTATTTTCAAATTTTGTTTCAAAATTGTCCTAGCCCGTCAAATTTAATGGGATGTCGCGTTAGTCTTTTCTTTGAAAAATAAAAAAATTACAAATTTAGTCCATCGTTTTATAAATATTTTGTATGGTACGGTGGTTAAACTCACCATCACCAATAATATATTTTATTATTAAATAATGTATGTGAATAACTATTTTGCGTTAATTGTATTATTACGATTGTGTCATCAGAAGTTTTCCTATAAGTAGGAGCTTCAGTTATAATAAAAAGACAACCAAGAGAAAACATTCTCTATATTCTCTCTATTTCTCTCTTGTTTTATAACATGTTATCAGCACGAGCGCTCTACCCGGTCAGAAAGGTAAGATGATATTATTAAATTTACTTATGAATTACTACCTATTAAGAAAATAATTTCAAGTTATAATAAAAATATATAATATTATTACTTGTAATTAACATCCACAGAACGGTTTACCTAGTAGTGTGTAGTGAAATATATAACTACTTATTATTGTATCCATCGAAAGAATTATCGAGTAAGTGGAGTGAAATTTACAAGTACTTATTCTTGTACCCACCAAAAAAATTATCGAGTAGTGTGGAGTGATATTTTTATTTGTTTTGTTACTTGTATTTACTAAAAATGTTCACCTAGTGACTCGGAGAAATTCTAAAATAATATACATGATTAATTATAATTTTATAATCATGAATGATATAATTAATAAATATTATACCAATAATGTGTTTTTATAAAAAAAATAAAATAAAAAATAAAGAAATCCAACGGCTATTTAATTGTTATACTCCTGAAGAGTTATAAAATAAAAATGTCCACATATATATTATTATTTTGTTCATACATCTGAAAACGAATGAAGCGTATATGGATAAATATCAAAATGTGACTTATATATGTTGTTTGGAATATATATGGTGTAGACATCAAAATATGCAATTACGAAATGAATTTATTTTGAAAATTATAGTTGCATATTTTGTTTCGTTGTTTTATGGACTTGGTCCAAATTTATTGAGCCTAATCAATTTGAATATATTGAAATTTAGTCTAATTGACTAGTGAACCAAATTAATGGTTGCAACTTTTATAGTTATTTTCTAATTATGTAATGAATTGCAGAGAAAATATCTTCTTGAATATTATGCTTATAAATTTGAGTTCCCCTGAAGAATTGCATAATTAAAAGTATCACTAGTAAATTTGAATACAGAATTAGATTTGGTTATCCATGAAGGATTGGTCCTATTGACCAGTATCATAATTGCATAAAAATTATTTAGCGAGTATTTAATCTAGTAAATAATCTCGTTGAATTTTAGATAAATTCATTATATTTTGATTTTGGATTAGTTCTGCATATTCAATATACTCTTAATGAAGGCATGTAACCAGAATGTTACAAAAATTGAATCAATATACAAGTTTGCTCAAATTATTTATATTTACTTATATATTTGATAAGATGCATACTATTGAATATATTGTCTATAGCTACAATAATAAATTTATACATAATGCCCGAAGCACATAATATTGTTGATAGCTACAATAAAAGGCTCACAACTGGCGTTCGATTATAGTGCCTGAAGCATATGGTGTTCACTTAGAAATAAATTATTATAATTCGATGCCCAACTTATATATTTGATAAATAGCATGAGCATTGGATCATATTGGGCAATTATTTTTCCCCAAATGGTGCGTGGAAAATAAAACATTTCCCATCTGCGATTCATTATTATTATGCACAATCTTATGTAACCACCAATTCGTACCTTTATGAGCCTATATTACAAACTAGGTTTGCTATGATTTTTATACTCCGTCAAATTTTTAATACATAGAGGCCATTATAGGGGATCAATGTATTATTTGGTACGTGTTTTGCATAATATATGAAAATGATTTCACGACATTAGGGGGAGATATGAGCATAAATGTCTTGAAATATGTGAAATATTAATGTTTTCATTATTTGAAACCACGCAATAAAATTTGAACTTGAAGTTCATATTATATTTCTGCCAAACGAAATTTATAGTAATAATGGAGTGAACAATTTGTATATATAAATGTATCACAAAGTAAGCAAATTCTCTAGAGAATGATTGACTCCTTAATGCTAGAAGCATAAGGTGATATAATTAATATATGATGTATGAAAGTCCGCGAAAAATTTATATTCAAGAATTAACGCTCCTTTATAAGAAACTCCTAAAGAGTTAATCCAGTACATCTTGCACGTGCATAAAACCATTATAGTACTGGAAATTGTGGAACAACCAAAATTAAATGTTATGGGAAATGATTATAAATATGACTAGGAAATATGAAGTTGTACATATGGTTGAGAGAATAAAAATTAAATATCATAGTTGTCGACAACATAATTGCCTATATGATTTCTTTACTATCTCAAATAATGATCCAGATCAAAATAATAAAAGTGCTAGAAGCGTGTAGGTTGATTGAGATAGAAAGGAAAATAAAGGCAGAGTTTCCACTGGCTACACGATATATCCCAAAAGGATAGCATGTCCCAGAAGGATAATGAATATTTATATGAAACATGTGATATGGTGGTGTGATGTAAATATAGCTAGATTATGCTCATGGTTTTACGCAGAGACCCAAATTTTTATAAAAAAATCTCTCATTAACAATTATTCCGCAAGTTAATATTTACGGCAGCAACGTTACCATGACTATTGAGTCATATGTGAAAGTCCTGAATGGACTAGAGTACCCGAGATGAAAGATAATTAAATAATAAATCATTTAACTATATAAAATTGTTGGTAAAATGTGGTACAACCAACAAAATTCTTCCTGAAGAAGTAAAGTAAGAAATTCAATGTAGAACCTTGTGTATAATGATAATACACAAAATGATCATCTCGGTCAAATAGATTATGTGGTGAACACTATATAAAAGATTAACTCATGCTTATAGACGGAGTTAGAATGAAACTCTTGGTTAAATACCAAAGAGTATTATCTCGACATGTAGATCGAGCATCTCCTAGAAGGAGTATATTTGACCCAACCAATCTACTTGAATCTCTTTTTAGAGATGTAAAATTATAACACCAATGAATATCAATTATTTAGATTTTAACAAAGATTTATAAAAATCCAAAGAAACTAATGAGGATATTATAGGACCTGAAGTTCCAATGAACTTGAAGTCTACAAATGACCTGAAGTTTATTTATTAAGCGCAATTGTTATAAAATTTTATCTCGCAAATTGCATCAGGTCTGATACTACATTTGTTATGAATTTGCTAGCACGATTTATTATTTAAAGAGATATCGTGATAAACGTGAAAAATATCTATTTTTTCATGTATGTTGAGTTATCTTTGGATTTGATATATTGGTGGATAAATATATCAGCTGTATAATTGATCCCCGAAGTATTGGGTCATCGATTGATTATATACCCTGCAGGTATGATACGCATGCGATACGATTCTAGATTTAAATATTGAATAAAATATTGTGTGTCAGAATCTGCACTTAAAATGCATTTTTCTTCCGCCGAAAAATGATGTGATAAATGTGTCATAATGAATTATTGTGATGCTTACTTATATCAATGATGATGGTTTATTCTTTGTGATATGATATGTTTTGTTCTCGATTGGTGAAATATATTACTAGCTAAATATTTGTAAATCGATATTTGATCAATCTGAGTATGAAAGAGGTATGATATATATCGGCCCACTACCCCTCCATGTATGCTACTAGATATTATGGATCCACTAGATAGCCACATGAGTATGTGATTCGTAACCTGAAGTTACGAGATGTTTTGATCAATGAATATGCATATGACACGTAACCTGAAGTTACGAGATGTTTTGATCAATGAATATGCATATGACACGTAACCTGAAGTTATGAGATGACTATGAAATAATAAAAAATAAGTGTCATATGAAAGTGATAAAGCTAGTAATATACCTAATTGATATGATGAACTTTTGAAAGAAAAATGTGCACATTACAAGTAATATGAGTTCAAAGTTCTCTTATTATATATTAAAATCGAGAACGAAACGTAGAATATCTGAACTCCTTTCAAGAAATTTCAATACTAGAAATACAGATTATGGATCTGTTAAGATGAGGGGGAGATTCAATGATTGAAATTTGTAAATTATACATTTATCACACTGGAAGTGTGCAAATAAAATGAATGATACTGATGGTGGTAAAATATATGAAATAATATGATGGTGAAATAATACGCTGGAAGTGTGGTATTTGTATCGTACAAATTATGGAAATATTATTATATGTTATACGCGTTGTACTCCTTTTTCCTTGCCTGAGGTTTTGTCCCATTGGGTTTTACTAGCAAAGTTTTTAATGAGGCGACATAGATGGCGTATTCACATGAATAGTGTACTATTTTTCCTTAATTAGGATTTTGTCCCACTGGGTTTTACTTAATAAGGTTTTAACGAGACATGTTCATGGTATAATGAGGACTACTTGAAAATTGATATAATTCCTCATGATGATAAATAGACACTGGAGTAGTTGTACTGTTTTTCCTTCGATCAAGTTTTTTTTTTCACTGGGTTTTCTTGACAAGGTTTTAATGAGGCAGCAAATTCATACTCCACTAAAGATGATTTATTTGAAGGGGAGCAATGTTATGATTCCACAATGCTCAGGTTTTGTCTCATTGGGTTTTTCCTGACATATTGGAGCAGACGTATCTGATGGACACAAGATACAATTCAAGATGTTCAGATTGAGCTTTGCCCAAATTAGTTAATTTATTTTAAAAAAGATAGCCATTCAAGGGGGAGTGTTATAAATATTTTGTATGGTATGGT